TTAGAGAATTGTTTGATGTATATGTCGAGATATATATTCTGATATATCGTATAACATAATAAAATATATGCAGTGTGGTATGATATGCATGTATGGTAAATTTAATAATAATAATATAATATGGTGCAACAATATGTGTATCTGTATCGAAATGTTCAATGCTTTACGTTCAATACACACTTGTGTACATATTTTTAAAATTTATTTTATCAACTTGTCTTCTGAAGATGCTCTGTGTTGAAGGATCTATTTTCAGCTACTCCACCCAGACTGCATTGTTGAGCTCAGATCCACTGATAAACTTGCAGCTTCAGTAACATTTAATTCAAAAACTGTACTTTTGTTGTTAAACAAATGTTCGAAATTTATTTCAATAAAGTACACGTTAAGAAGGGCATGGAAAGTTGTCTTTTTTGAATAGAAAAAATATTGAAACCATGAGACTAAAATATCAAACCGAACTGAATTGTGACTTTTCCGTATCGTTGCACCCCTAATATGTATATCTTTACAGGATCTAGAAAGAAAATGTATACATTTTTTTCTCTTTTGTTTTTTCATTGTAAATATAATTTTGTAAGAATTCTGTAATTCTAATTCAATAAGAGTATGTAGATCTACTGCAGCGAATGGTCATCTTAATAAACAATAAATACACAAATATCTAGGCTCAGGTTGGCTTTACATTCTAACAGTTTATAACCTACTGTGCGTTTTCCTTATWATGTTCACATCTACTTGTTTCTTGCAGAACCAGCCTTAGATGAGCCCATTCTGATCGGAGGAGACATTGCGATCAAGTCTGAGGGGGACCGAAACGCTGACCCCTGCACCACCAAAGGCTGCATGTGGTTAAAATATACTGATGGAAAAGTCTACATCCCCTACTACATCGCTGACCATTACTGTAAGCATAAAACTAAAACTCAAGCTGCTACATATTAAATAAATTATACAAACTATTTTACTTTATGAGGGATTAGATTTGCTGCATACAAAACTGACTTCAGCTTAAAGAACATGGTATTATTTTGTTTCTTACATTTTTATTAATGGCTCAGTGTTCTTTCTCAGTCTAGTATTAATGTTTGCAGTGACAYGAAATAGAGTTAACCCTGCCTCTGTTCCTCTCAGCCACCCGTGAGAGGGCCATCATTGAACGTGGACTGGAATCTTTCAGTTCATTTTCCTGCATCCGTTTCAGACCCTATCAGAACGGTGACCATGAATGGCTGAGCATTGAATCCAGGAATGGGTGAGGGTCTGCGTTTGTTGCTTTACCTCTTCCTGGTCCACACGTTTGTACTCAGACAGGCCCACATCCACTGTTTTCCTGATAATGAATCAGATTCATTTAACAAAGCAGCACTTATGATAAACCAGCACAAACACGGCCATGAAGTTCAGCAGGTGTGARCAACATGTACTCTTATTTTAATGCCGGATTGCAGCTGTTTTATTTATTTTTTTTACCTTATTTTTACTTGAACTATTTGTTCACTGGGTGTGGCACATTACATGYGGAAAAAAGCTGAACTTACACAACTTTCTTGATTATTTTTCTGGAAAAGATGATGAAATATACCTTTCCTGACACATCTGCCCTATTTTAGATTGCTACACTTCCCCTGTTTTTCCCTGAAACAGAAATACAACCAGCTCTTTGAAGATGGTAAATATTTCATGCAAACTGTTTGCAGCTAACAGCACTGGTCTTTGAAAATCAAGTGACACCCCCCCCCCCCCCCCCCACACACACACACAAGTTATTTACGTAAAAGTGTTTATCCTGTTAATGCATGCATGATACCTCATTTAAATGTGGACAAACTTGACAGGACAGTTGGCAGCACAGTTTAAATGGCACTTTTTATTTTGTGAGAGTTTGGAATTGACTTTGCAAAAATCAAACCAGAATTTCTTAACATAACTTTAAAGCAGAGTTTTTTTTAAGTTGCTATTTCTTAATGACAAAAAGTCAAAAATTCATGCTGGAACCTAAAACGAATGGAGAAATTTTAGATAAAAATCTGATTGCTCATTTCGACAAATTTCCAGAGATTATAGATTAAAACGGAATAAAAAAAAAAGTCCTTTATCTTTTGGCTAMGTTTTTTTGTTTTATTAWATCACAATGATGTATTGGTCAATTAAAGCCAAACTTTTGAATAAAACTCTTGAAACTTTTTGTTTGTTCTTTAAAAGAATGTGTAAAGGCTGCTGTATGTTACTGTGGTTCCAGCTGTTACTCCTACGTGGGCCGTCAGGGGGGTGGTCAGACGGTGTCTCTGAGCCGACAGGGCTGTCTGTACCACAGCACCGTCCAGCATGAGCTCCTCCACGCCCTCGGCTTTAACCACGAACAGACCCGCTCGGACCGGGACAACCACATCAAAGTGCACTGGGACAACATCATCGACGGTTACAAACCTTTACCATTTAAATCACACAAAGAGTGAAATCAGGCGTTTTTACTAAGAAAACACACAAAAAACACAAACACTAAGAAAACACAAAGTCTAAAACTAAAACTCTCACTGCCACTTTCTGGTCCAAACTAAAATACTTGTGTTCTCTCTTTCTGCAGGCATGGAATATAATTTCTATAAGATTGACACTCTGAATCAGGGTACTCCTTATGACTACAACTCAGTCATGCAATACGAGAGGTACAGATCTAAATCGAAATACTTTCATTTTTACCAAGTTGAAAGTTTGTGTGAATATCAGTCCTTGAGTTTCAAAACAGCAGCAATGTGTTTACGAGTAAATGTTCTCATCAGATTTGTGTTGGTCATAYGGTAGTCTGAGGTTACAACTAACATAAAATCTGCTTTTAAATGTTGTTTCATTTATAAAATAATGAAATGATAATGTGTATCATAGGATGGTTTTAAATCAAACCCGGACTCATCTTGTACTGTACTTGTGGTTCCTCAGGTATGCCTTCTCTAAGAACAACTATCCCACCATGGAGCCCATTCCAAACAACAACGTGTCCTTCGGCCAGGCCACGGAGATGAGCAAGAACGACATCGACAGGCTGAACAGACTCTACCAGTGCTGTAAGTGTAATAAAATAAAACGTAGGGAAGACAAACCTACAGACACAAATATGTTTGTTGATACTCTTCCGCAATTATGCTCTCAGGAACTTTGGAGCTTGTCAACATGCATGTTGGTAAATTCCAGCTTGACTTTTAAAAAGGTTGGATACAGTCTCCTGGCTCTTTTTTYAATAATGGCAAATATGGATGGAGCTGCTTGGGGATGATCACCTTTCGCTTTAACATGGAAATCTATAACATGGATTTACCCTCATTTCGCAGGTATACAGAYGTATTACAGATTTTTTCAAAAACTCAATTTCAAATTTATTCAACCTRTTAGAGCCTGTAGGACGTTTAAAAAAATATATTTAATGACCATCATCCAACCCGCTCTGTTGCTAGAGTAAGTTTTTCCATCCTTACTTCCTCCTTCGCTGCAGACGTTGAACCTCCTGAGAACCTGCATCTTACTGTGTGTGTGTGCTGGGGGGCTGGTGGCGCCCCTGCTTGTCCTCGCCCCAAACAACATGATAGTGCCTCTAGTCAATGCACCTCATTGGCCGTCATCTTGAAAGCTACCATATTAGATCAAGGGCAAGCTTTTCCAAARATAACCCCCCACCTATCCAGTACTTCAGATTTATCATTTTCTCTTTTCTTTCTGAAATGAAAGTGTGTCCTGTGTCACCTTTCATCTGAATCACTTTTTTTAACAGAAGGGAGAATTTGTTTCAATGAGCTGTTAGGGTACCAACTCAAACAAAGTGATGTAAACCACACCGCCTGTTTTGCTGTGGAGAAAAAAAAACACTCTGGACAAATGCTGATTCAAGACTAAATCTTTTAAAGCCCTAAACTGATTTCATGGACGTTATTAGTTCAAACCCCATTGACTTCTTGAGCAAAATAATTTTGTAGATAATCTGATCTGTCACAGAGAAACAGAAGTTTGAAGGGCTTTTTCAAATGATCAGTCAGCATGTTTTTGTCTGAACAACAGTGCCATCAGGGGATGACAGAAATCACAATAACTTCTAGTTTATTGTTTTCCTAAATGTCTTTGATTTCTCTGGGTCGTCAGGTATAAAACTTTCCCTCTACATAAACGAAGGGTATGCTCATGCAGCTATAACGTTCAGGCTTCAGAATATAAGATAATTTTTTTCCTACATTTCCTCTGCAGAAACCGCTCTGGTGACCTTTGAACTGGCACCGTGAAGACATCCCACCATGCTCAGGGAGAGAAGGATGCTCCACACTGTCTGACCAGAAAAACAAAGTAAAAAAATAAATAAATACAAAAATAAAAAGTCTGATGTATTTTACTCAAACTTATTTGACAGTAAAAATCTATTTTTTCATTTTCAAGTTTGATTGGAGGATCTCAATTCCTCTCTCATATCCGTCACATCATGACTTATATTCAGTGCTGGAATTATTTTTTTTACACCTTCCTTACGTTTAGTGTTCAAACTACATTACAGGAAGACCTAACAGACCACACACAAATGCACAGTTCTTCATTAGCTGAACATACATGTTCTTGGCATGTGAGAGGAAACTAGAAAAAAATCCAGGTACACATGTAGAAGAAGTACATGCAAACATTCACAGAGAAAGACCCCAAGTGAGATCTAAAACTCAGGACCTTCTTTCTGGAGAATAACCACTTCACCACAGTGCGATCTCTTGAACAGCAGCTTGTGGCCCCAGGTGATCTCATGCAAGAACTACCAAAGTGAGCCAACACAGATGATGTGGAGGGCAGTGAAATAATGTGCATGCTGCACACTGAGTCAAGTCTCCAGTTAGAAAAATAATAATAATAAAAAGGGGAAATATCATGTAAAATCATCTTTTTTGAGTTTATGTTATACTCTCATAAAAACATGCCCAAAGCCTTGCTTTGACTCATCCATGCATGTTTGAGAAATCCTGCAAATGGACAGGACAGAAGCAGAAGGAGGTTCTTAAAGAGACAGAGGCCAATTTCAAGGCGTTTAGAAGAGGAAGTGATGAGAAAATAAGTTTATTTTCTATTTAAACATAAAAACAGCATTTTAATAACAACTAAAGGTGACATATATACTTTATTGTGGTATAGTATTTAAATGTATGCCTGATAAACACATAATATTGCCCCTTTAAAAGAAAAAAAAAACAAATTTTAACCAAAATCACCCTGAACAGAAAAAACACTGAAAAAAAAAAACAACAAAATGACAAAAACACAACAAAATACAGGAACATTTGTAGTCTGAAAAACTTGAAAACATATTAAAAAAAGGTTTATAAAAYGTTTTTAATGTAAACATAGCTGGCAGGTCCAACACCTTCCTATTTGTTGTGTATAAAATTAGTTTTCATGTTTATAGCTGATCATGCGGAGACTAACTTTTCACAAGTAAATATTACTGTTAACATTGAATAATCCTAATATTAAAACAAAATGGTTTTTGTTTTAGTGTCAAAGGAAAGAATAATGACAATAATAATCTGACAATGAAGAGGTGCTTTTCTTACATCTATTCATCAGCTCAAAGATTGTGTGCATTTTTTTTAATATATATTTTTTTACAGACAAAACCTTTTTAGTTGTTTTTTAATTAACCTTGAATCCTATCTGTAGATCTCTACTGGTCATACCCTCGACTTTTAAGTTCGTCCTCCACTTTTTCAGCGGTCATCTTTAACTGACAGTCCTTCAGGGCTTTGATCAGATCCTGGGTTCTGGCCTCYGCTCCTCGACTCTTCCTCCACTCCTTCAGCAGCTCCACCGCCGTCTCGTCCAGCTCTGTCGGATGTCTTCTGGAGATGGACTCCAGCTTGACGTCACTCACTTGTAGTTTCCGTCCCAGTTTGCGCCACTTACTGCCCAGATTCTCTGAGATCACCTCTGTAGCGATGTCCAGTTTAGCTGAGAACAGAAAATGTAAATAAAGGAAAATGTAATTTATTCTTATTTCATTTCAAACTTGCATTTTCCTCCAATTCATTCAGCACAGTACCGTTCCTTCAGTTTTGTTTTCACAACTTCAGGTATTTTCAAATTCTTGAAAGATGAGGTTCAACCAGAGTCACCATATGACTCATTTTTAAAGGGATCCACGATTATTTGTAACATTAGACTTAATTTGATAAACATTTATTTTAACTGTAAAATAAAGACTGTAAAAATACTGTAGCTGTTTAGTTTTGTAAATTTTTAAAAACATATTTTAACATGGACAGAGACATTTTATTTACACGCAAAGCATTCTGGGTAAATGATGACATGGATAGGTCCTCGGTGTGAGGCTGCTAGTGAGCTATATCCACCCTGAAGGTTAATCTTGGACAATTTCTGATGATCGACTCTTAAATGAAACCAGAGAGCGTTGACAGAGAGGAGAAGGTAGAAATGACTCAAAATATGGATGGAGGACCCCAGTTTAGCT